GGTGAGTCCGCTTCCAGTCGGTGAGCCCAGCATATCGACAGAGTCTGCATCGCCGTCGCCACCGTTAAAGTTTACTGTCTCTCGCCTCTTCCTCTTTGATCGGATGCTTCTGGTCACGGAGGAGGTAAAGGGCAAGCGCCGAGGCGGCACCGCCTATGCCGAGGCCTTTGCACAGTCCACATACCAGTTCAAGGTTGCCATCAACGTCAATAAGATGCGTTTTGAGGTGAGCCTGCCAATTACTTTTTCTCTTAGCTACTTGAGGCGTAACTTTGCACTTTAGCAAAACTGTGTGTAAGAACCAAAACGCTCTCCTTCTCCGAACTCAATAGTTATCTGCTGCTGTTATACAGTAGGTTACGTGTCTCATGAAACGTTAACTAAAATCTTAAAGTCTGATGATTGTTAGGAGGAGGGATAGATTATAATAATAATAGTTATTATTATACAGGATTACAGGCAGAATAACTACCGACAAATACAAGGCGGACCGGACTGGCCATCCCTGGTTTATTAGCCGTCACCAGCCAACCTTGCCGTAAGCGATTGGAAGCGCCACTTTACCATTTGTAGTATTATTATCGAAAACTGACTGAAAAAAATATCCCGTGACTCAACAGTTAGAGCGTTGGACGCGTAGTCAATAGTTTCGATTCTCAGGTACGGCAACACCTGGGGTTGGATATGACTGGCTGATGATGGCCAATAAACCAGAAATGGCCGGACCGGTCTCGCGTGTCTTTGTCGGTAATGCCCTACCTATGTCATTAGCCGCCGGGCGGCTGCTGGCGGGACTCAAGAGTGAGTCCCGTAACCGATTTGTGAGCGCCAATGTGCCATACAGCTTTATATCGAGATATTTCAAATATATCAAAATGCTGGTTTTCGAGTGCATGTCTTTCTGACCATCTGAAAAAATCAAACTCGTTAAGAAGCACTACATAAATAGTATGATTTTTCCATTGCATTCAGATGCCCTCTATCAGACATACAAATAAGTATCTTTTCTTATGCTCCTTTTGTGATTAATAGCGGTCTCATTTTTCCCCAAATAAACAGCATCTTCTAGTTGAAAAAGCCGCTAAGTTCCTGAATACTTTTTAACCCATTTGTCATTGCCCTTACCTTTAAAGTTTACAAACTGCAAGATTATAGCATCCCATTAAAAAAATCGAAAAATCCTTCATGTCCTTGAAAGAATCCCACATAGGTTTCGTAAAATATTGCAATGATTGTATACTTCAGCCAGGTGCTCCGTCTCATATGAGCGTGCTATGCTATAATGGTGCCGGTGGTGGTGGTCGTGGTCGTCGTCCTTTGGTTGAGTACGAAATTTGACTACATAAATTACTATAAAATAAGTGCAAAGAAACGATATTTTTGCATGCTTTTTATAACGTACGTTTGAATTTATAAGGTTGTCGAAATTCGAGGAAAAATACATACTAATTAAGCAGCCATTTTAAAGGCTACTCAAGAGAGACCTATTGGAAGCCCAGCTTCATAGTGTGATTGAAATATGTGGGGGTTCTACTGTATGGTATTAACTATTGCTACCCCGCCCAAGTACTTCTTTCTGACCGAGATCATATCTCAGAATGCTAGTTCACGTTTCATGAGCGACTTCACGTACTGTATATCGACAAAGGAAGAGAAGGTGAAGTGTTAACATTTAACTAAGCGGAATCTCCTAGTTGAGGCAAAAAACAGTACTTTAGAAAACATGTCATTTGGCACTGGCACATCCCTGTGTTTTGAGTTCTCACGTGTTGCGTCATAACACCACGGAGGCACGTACACATTTAGCTCTTTAGTCGGTTGAAATCGTTATCATATGTTTCGGCAAGACGCGTTTCATAAGCAGATGCTTTAAAAATTAAAATGTTTTAAAAATGTCGACGATTAATTATTTCACACTAGTCCCAAGCAATGGCCACATGCATTCGTGGAATTCGTTTCGTCGACTGCCCTGAGTTTGCTTTCGCCGTTACCTATTGCCGTACATGCGTGCTGCACGAACCCAAAAAATGCTTGACGCCACGCCTACTACAGCAAATTATTTGAAAGTCTGGGGTAGTTTACTTATGCATTGTAGAGAGCAGAGGGAGTGAGGCCGAGCCTAGAGTATCCTTCCCTATGACAAATCAGTGCACTTCTTGCAATCGGATTCCCCGTTGAAATGAAAGCCAGACTGCAATCAGTCCATCTCAATGTGGCATTCATGCTAATTCTTCCATGAAATCGTGGCACACGTTAGATCCGGGGTTGACAACCTATGGCTCGCGAGCCATGTGTGACTCTTTTGATGATTGCCATTTCAGATTTTGTGATTTTGGTTCCCCAGTGACGTGCCGCCACTGCCGCCGAGACGTGTATTAGAATCAATTTTATCTCGACCAACCTCTAACGTTTCGGCCCCCTAGGTTTGACCAAGCAGTTGTTTCAGTGTTCCCGTTCTGGCTTGTCGACAGCAGCTGCTTCCATTTTCTCCTGCCTCTCAACGGCCGCGACAAGCTCGCTAAATAACAGACGCTCTGGTGAATTCCGTGAGCAAATTCGTATTTTTAAGTTCATCACTCATCCGGCCGAGTGTTTACTGAATACAGCTGACCTAGGTTATATTTCTGGAGTCTCCGTTAGAGATTTCGAAGAAGTGGCTGACCTGAAGGCCTCAGGTATGTGGGTGCATAAGTTCGAGTCACTCAATGAGGATTTGGAAGGAATTGTACGACATAAAGCGGAGTTGGCAGGCAAGCATATGTGGACGGAAATTAAAATACTTCAACCCGAGGACCAGCTGATAATCAAAACTTGGAACAAACTTCCTGTCACATAACACACACTGGAGTGTGCGAGTTGCTGTATTGACCATGTTTGGATCTACGTATTCATGTAAGCAGTCATTCTCGCATCTTAAATACATCAAGTCCACCCTACGATCACGTCTAATGGATGAGAGCCTCAACGCTTGGATGAAGCTTAACCTCACCAACTACCAACCAAAATAGAAAGCCATCAGTGAATTAATGCAGCACCAGGAGTCGCGTTAACAATGATTATTATAAATCATTATTTAAAAGAATAAATCCAGAGGCCTATTATACTCACATTTAGTTTAATTTAATCTTAAAATGTATTATATGACTCTCCCTGAAATATATTTCCAAATATTTCCTTTCTTGGCTCTGAGTCTGAAGAAATTAGGACATGCTGCCGGCCGTGGCCTAGAATGTCCTGCTCATAACTGAGGGGTCACGTTATATTAGGAAGTCCCAGAATCTGACCTATTATTCTTGTTGTCCGGCTTTCACGCCTGCCAAAAAAAACCTTCGAGTTATGCATGACCTTCAGAGGACTGACATCATACGAGTGTCTGCCCGTGTGGGCGTTCACAGATGGACCAATAGGAACAGACAAACTAGACAAAAGGCATGACCC